CTTTTGGGGGCGATGAAAATGTTCTGGAATCGATGGTGGTGATGGATACACAACTCTGTGGATATACTAAAAACCATTGAGTTGTGCACTTTGAGTGAATTGTATAGTAAGTGAATTATATCACAAAAAAAGCTGTTAAAAAAAAAAAAGGAAAAGAAGAGTAAATCTCTAGGTGCTAGAAATGAAGATTGTTAAAAGCTTGAGCTATTTCCATGGTGAAGGGTTGGGGAGGGGAAGGAGAGGAGGGCCTTTGCCTCCAGTGAAGGCTGATGCTTCAGATTTTTTTGTAATTTAGTTTTTATTTTCTGACCAATATTTGACTTGTAGAAAGTTTTTAAAAAATCAAATAGTTCCATGTTTATACCAAAAACAACAAAACCAGAGTCCAGCTATTTCCCACCTCCATTTCTGATTTTCAGAGCAGCCAGTTCCTCTGACCTTAGGCCTTGGCCTCCGTATTTCTGTCACCGAGGTTCACTACTATTGCTTGATTTTTCCATTTTGCATGGGTCCATTGACATCCCTCTGTGGAAGAGGAGCAATGGCCTTCGCACACTTCTCTCTACCTCTTACAGCAAATGCTTCCCAACCATCTGTGTCCCTTGGAGAGTTGTTATAATTTTGATTAGTTCCTTATTCAGTGTGTACATTATTATTATGATGTAAGCATTTATTCATAGCTGAGGCCTTTTCTATACTCTGGTGGTATTTCCTTTTAGAACAACTTAATGTCTTCCCTGAAGTCAATAACTGTCTCATAATTTTGTTTTGCTTAGTTCTCTTTGAACCACTATCAGTGTTTGATCAGGGAAGCAGGATGTGAGTGGTTTGGAAAAAGGTTTGTGGTAGGGAGACACTGGGGAAGGAAGGGTGCAGAGGGAGATGGTCGAGGATGAGAGGAAAGTCCTTAAGGACAGACAGGACACTGAGGGGAGCTGGTGGAGAAGTCTGTGGAAGCCCGTTTCTCCTGCGTTGGGTGGAGGCCTGAGGCCTTAGAGGTCAGCAAGGCTGGCTGTCGGGAAGGAGAGCTGGCCATGAAGCAGCAGCAGGCAGTGAGGACAGGCTGGAGTGGAAAAGAGCCTTCATCATGGAGCCTGCAGTGCCCGGCAGTTAAACGCTGCTGCTTCCCTTCCGCCTTCCACATATCCCGCAGAAGCTGTGGTGAATCCTCACCCGGAACCACAGGGAGAGGAAGGTGGGGAGCATCCTCCTGCTCCAATTCGAATATGTTAAAGTTGGTTCCGATTACTGTTCTGTTCTATCACATTCTTGGGGTGCTAGCTCTGTATCTTTTTCTTCTATGTCTCTTTGCTCTTATTTGAGAACACTGTTCTTTGGTATATTATACATTTTTATTGCATGCTTATCTTCATCTAGCTTTATCTGTGGGATTCCACAAAATTATGGAAATGTTGCTCCTGAGCAGTTTTTGGTTTGCTTCTACTAGGTATCTGCGAGACTCTAGCCCAGATATGATGATTTCTCAGCTTGGGGCTTCTACACATAAGGAAATTATAATTTTGGATCACAAACATGCATGAGACTAGACCCAGGGTTTCAAAATCTCAATAGAGACTGCTTCCTGCTCATCACCTTGAGGCCATGAGTAGAATTTTTTTAACAGCTCAGCTTGACACAGGTAATCTCAGTTCCTACTCCTGCCTCGCACAGGCCCACATTTGATCTTTTCCCAGTTAAACACGGCATGCTTATGCATATATTGACCTAGATCCTCCTGATCCCCACTAGAATGGTAATGAAGTGGTAAAATAGGCAAAAATACGAAAGAGCAAGACAATGGGAGAAGAAGTGCCTGCAGCTAAAATTTTAAAGTTGGAAAATAGATGGATGAGTATTAACTAACAAACTAATCACCAGACTAGAAAAAAAGATGAAATTTATGGAGTGAGAGACACCAAAGCATGCCAGATGGACCCGCAGATCCTCAGAAACCTCTGGCATGAGAGGTATCATGTGACTGAAACAGGAGGACTGGCCGAATGAACATGGAACGGTTCCTTAGATCCCAACTTTCTTCCTCACCTGCGCTGCCTTGTGAAGGCTCTTCCCACACCTTCAGAAGGGAAGATAGTGATGAAGTTTCTGGAAAGGTTGACTAGAGAGGCTGTAGGCTCAGGGACACCAGGCATGGCTGGAAGAGGCGGGCAGGGAATACTAGGCCCAAAAAGGAGGGGTTAAGTAAACATCTAAGATGATACCAGGGTTCTTCATTCCTCTCCTAACTCTGAGGACACTGCCATCCAGTCTTGAGTCACTCACGTGTTTGGAAGACCCCTCCCTGCGGCCTCCAGCCATTCTAAGAGAAAGGAGTTGCAGATCCTGACGTCCGGGCATCAGACTGGCCAGTGCTCCCACAGCCTAAGAAAGCCTGCTCGTGCACAAGCCCCTCTAGACACTTGTTAGTGCCTCATGCTTACATACGAACAACGATTACCAGGAATTTGACAGAAGTCTACCAATGGAAGACAGGGACCAAACACACGCACACAAGCAAGCAAGCAAACACGAAGATTCTAGAAAAAAAGCAGATTCATCCAGAGTGTAAAGAAATGAAAACAAACAGAAAAGTGGCATTAATATCTTTAGAGAGATAAGACTGGCAAAACTGGAAGCATCGGCAGAACTGTTTTGGCTGGGATACGGGGGAGAGGAACTCACCTACCCTGCGGGTGACATTGTAAACCAGGCGACCCCTTTGGAGAGCAATTGACAATATGTGGTAGAGCTGAAGATGCCGGGAACTATGACCCAGCCCATTTCACTTACAGAAACACGCATACAGGGAGATTTTCCACAAAGAGACTGTAGACAGATGTTTTTTGCTCTGTTTATAAATAATGAAAAAGAAGAAACAGTTACCAACAGTAGGGGAATGGGAAATAATCTGAGATGTGTTCATAGAGTGAAATATTACACAGCTGTTGAATGAAATTTCTCACATAATATGAATGTCTCAAAAATAAAACACTGAATGAAAAAAATCAAGTTGCAAAGGGCTATATAGTATATGTAAACTTTAATTCATATAAAAACAATATAAAATTGTATGAGGATCATAATAGTAGTGAAGACTAACATAAAACTACTCTTTGATATAGGAGCTGAGGAAACTAAGGCACAGAGACCAAGTTATTGTGTGTCCAGACTCACACAGCTAGTATGTGAGCAGTGAAGGGACAAAAACCTGCTTGGGAATGTTAAACTTCAGAAGGAAGAAGCAGGAAAGCATGGAAACATGGAATTTATTTATAACTTTTCTCTCTTTTCGTTCATCTGAAGCAATTGTGGCCAGTCTGAGTGTCTGTTACATTATTTTTTGATTTTTTATGTGTTTACATATTTCACAACACATTTTAATGACTAAAAATACCATAGCCTTGTAAATACCCAGGGCCGCAGGGATGGCCAGCGGAGCTGTAGATGCTGTGTCTGTCTGTGGTTTGCACGTGCTTTACTAGATACGGACAGGGCTTTCCTGCCGGTGATGGTTGAGAGGAGGCAGCACTGTGACTTCAGACAGGGACAGTGCTCTGAGCCAGAGCGATGCCAGAGAGAACTCAGTTCTCCAGCTGCTCAGTAGGTTGCTGGAGCTGTGCTTCCTGCTCAGGGCGGGGGTTTAGGAGGAAGAGTTTGGGATCTTGCCTAAACCTATCCACAATAAGCTTTTCTTCTGCTGGGAATCTTGGTGTTATTTCCTTCATCAGTGCAGACATCTGTAACTCAGAATTTAACTACTTGTTGGTATTTTTTTTTTTGGTGGCTCTTATGTTGCAGGACATATAAGTGAACTTTCTGTTATCTGGCACATTTTAGGGAAGGACATCTGATAAATTAAATATGGTTGTTAAGGCTTACTGTGTATTCCAAATGCTCAGTGCTTTCAAAGAGTTGACAAAGTTGAATCTGGGAGTTTAGAGTTGGAAAGATACTTAGATCTAACTTAGCATACCTTCCCTGTTTTAAACATGAAGAAATTGAGGCTGAAAGAGTGGAAATGACTTGTACAAGATTATACAGCTACTTACTGACAGAGTTGGGAGTAGGAAATAGGGCTCTCTACTCCCTGCATGTGTCAGTGCATCAGAGTACAATAAAGTATACTTGAACAAAAACCTATGGAATGTTATTTTTCACTGGCTGATTTATAGGATTCATCAAAAGGACTTTATAGGTGTAAAACTCATATATATTTGGAATGTAGTATTTGTGGTATGTAGTCAGAACACTAGCTCTAAAGCTTTTTCATGCTTTATGTTAACTAAAAGGTAAGCTCCTGAGATGAAATTGCTTGTGTTACTATTATAGAGGTATTTACACACCTGCCTTAATTTCATAAATATAGATATCATTGGGATCTTAGGTTTTTTTCTATTTTCAGTCAAAGAGAAAACCCGTCACTTGATGCTCTAGCAGCCGTTCAGAAGGATAAGGTCTCATTTTTAAGTTCGCATGCTTTACTCCCATTGGGTGGGAGCTGTAGGCAAGAAGAGTTTGATCATTTCCATTTAAGACCTTTAGGATAGTTTTGTGCTTTTTCAGTAGTCCTAAACTAAAGTGGTTGGATGTTGGAGCATTCTAATTGGGAAAAGTGCTAGAGTCAGTTATATGATTTTTTCCCTCCATAGCACTCTTAATGCATATTCCTTAGAGGCCCATTTTGAATACTGAAGGGTAAAAAGCCCTGCTGGACCTTTACTATGGTAATATTCAATGATTTTCATCCATATTTGCATTTAAACTTCACAAATATAATACTTGTAAACGGACACAGTGTCCTCCATGACCAAAAAAAAAAAATGTTGAAAAGCCTTACTTGAAATGGTTCAGTGAAATCAAGTTTAGTAAGCTTGGGCATTTATCTTAAGTCTTCCAGAAAATACTACAATGAAGGAATCATTAGCAAACTACCTGTAAATATGATCACATGTAAAATAAGAGATTGCCTTTATTTCGCTTTTATAACATGGTTTATCTTGCAGTGTGTGAACTTAAATCTCCCTCCATGAGTGACTTTCTGTGGGGACTAGAGAACTCTGGCTGGTTAAGGCACATTAAGGCCATCATGGATGCAGGAATCTTCATTGCAAAGGTATGCAATTGCAGAACAGATAAGTGAAGCGGTAGACTAGCCAGCACACTCTGACTTCAGAGTTTAGATCCTGTCTCCTCCCCACCAGCCGCCCTGTGCTGGGTTGTGCTGCACTGAGTGGGCAGTTGCTTTGCAGACCTCCGCCAGGTTTGTCCTCTGAAGATGGGTTTTGCGAAAGACAGGACAGTGCTCAGTGTGCACGAGCAGGGGCTATGTCAACACAGCAGTCAAGTGGTAAAATATTTTCAGAATATTTTCTCCAGTTAGGTTTGGTCCTAGTTGGAGGAAAGAATTTTCCAAAGGGGTGTACATCCAAATGTGAGTCACTTCAGTGACAGAGGCCTGAGGCGTCCATCTTGGTAAACAGGACCTCCTTTTTAATGACGGCATAAGCAAAAGTCATGTTCCCGAACCTGGTCGGCGGATTCCATTCTGCCATGGGAAGAATCTTGCTGCAGCTTTCATAAACCTGTTTTGGATGCATTGTCTATTTTGTCGTTCAGTGTTTTTATATTTGTTTGTCATATAT